TCGGGGGCCTTGCCTTCGGGCGGGCCCCCGTGGCCAGGGGTCCTGGCCATGCGGTGCAGGACCCCTGAAGACGCGCGGCCGCGGCCGCGCGGCTCGGCGGAGCGAACCTTCGCCGTCGGCCTCGCGCTCTCTCTTCCTCCTCCTTCTCTTCCTCCACAACCTTCTCCTCCTGCCCCTTCCTCCTCCTCATGTCCCTTCCTCCTCCTCCTCCTCATCCTCCTCCGCAGCTGCAGCAGCAGCAGCATCATCATCACCCACGTCCTCCCCCCCGTCCCTCCCTCCCTTTCCCCGTCTGCTCCCTCCCCCTTCATCCTGACCGAACTGATTGGGATCTTAGGCTCGAGCTGCCTGAACGCATAGCTCGAGCTGGTTGCAGTCAACATGCGCAGCGTCGGCACCAATGACCTGGACAGGGGAGGAATGCGGCAGTGGGGGTCAGGCGTGTTATCCCCCTGTCCTGCCTCCCCGGCCTCCTCCTGCCCGATCCTCGTCCCCATCCTCCCCATGACGAGCTGACGAGATGAAGACATGAAATTCGGTAGGATGTTGCCCTCCCCCTCCCCCCGTGCAGGTCGGCCTTGGGGGGCTTCCCAAACTGAGAGCCACGCGACTCAAGGGGATTCGTCCCAGAAGGAGTCGCTGGCCGGTTGAAAAGGTTGTAAAAATGTGAAAAGAAAGAGGCGAGAGCTGACAAGCGGCGAAGGAAGGACGGAGAAAAGAGGAACATACAAACTAGAGGAAGGAGGGAAGAAGGAGGGGATGACGACCGCGGCCCACTCCCGCCAAGGTGGAAGGCTCAAGGGCCTCTCCCCCTGCTCATAGAAACCCGGGGCAAGAAAAAAAAAGGAGGAGAGATATGATCTCACATCTCAATCAGTGACAATCAGTGACACTCAGCGCCTTCATTCTCCAACAGTGTGACTCGAACGTGTTCAGCTGATCCGGCATCTTTCCCACCCACACACCCACGACGGCCAGACACGCGAAAGGGCGAAGCCCGTTGACTGACGCCGTCGGGAGCAGGACGGACAGGGAGACGATCGAGAGGGCGGAACCCTCTAGCAGCAGGACGCGCGACCACACGACTCGCAACTTGATGGCAGCACCTGGCCCACGACCGACAGGCCGGCACAGCACAAAGAACTGAAAATCTATGCACACTCTGGTCCCAGAGTTCCCCTCGGGCTGTGATGGCACCCTGTGGACACCCCACTGATATCCCAACGCCACTCGTGATCAACTCTCTGCAGATCAAGAGCATTGTCCATCACATCCCATCTCCGCCAGCCCAGCGCGCGAACGGAAACGAAGATGTCACTCGCATCCAAGACCCAAACCAGAAGGGCGGGTAGACTCCGGGAGGAATGTCTGATGCGTGGAGGGGCACGCGCGGCAAATCCAGGTCGACTGCCGCTTCTGTGCACGACCTGACTCGTCCTGAAACACGTTCCAGCTGTGCACCCACGTCGGCTCCGAACCATTCCCAAATTGGATTCGCCCATACTGGCGTAAAGTGAAGAGCTGACCACATGAAAATGACGCCCACATAGTACGATGATGATGCTGCTGATGATGATTATGCTGATGATGATGATAATGATGATGATGATGATGATGATGATGATGATGATGATGATGATGATAATGATGATGATGATGATGATGATGATGATGATGATGATGATGATGATGATGATGATGATGATGGTGGTGATGATGATGCTGATGATGGTGATGATGATGATGATGAAGCGTGACCTCATACTCAAAGACTTCAAAGCGGTGAATCGCCACGAACTTCTGGTCTGATTTCGCGAAGGCAGGCAAAGTGGGGCCGACCTGATCAAGCACCCTCCAGATCTCGGCGGCCGGCCCCGCGGGAAGCTGGAGCA